TAGCGAATATTAAGGGATCAAGCTCAATATCGCAGGGATTCTCAACACTAGCAAGTGTAAGCCAACAAATAAGTTTCTCTAACCAAGTCAAGTATGCTTAAGTAATAGCATTTAGGAATTCCGCCTTTATGTTAATTTGGTCAAGTGCACATACGAAGACTAGTTTCTAAACTAGTTTAGGTGGAAACTAATAAAGAATTCAACAATACCGACCTTTTGTTGTCATGGCAGTAAGGAAAGAATATCTGAAAGAATATCTGAAAGAATTAACTAAAAGGTAACTTTCGATACCTGAAATCACATTCACAACATATACCCTATCTTTCTCCCCTTAAGTTAACTAAAAAAGGGGTAATTGTTTGATAAGAAAGCTTTTAATGGTTATTTTATCCCTATTTATCCCCCAAGGTTCCACGGTGATAGTATATCTAAATCTCATCTTATGATGACATGCACTAAATTCACCCCCCAAAGTTTCATAGTAATAGTATATCTAAATCTCATCCCATGATGACATGCACTACACTCACTTCAAAGATGTCAATGTCCTTATTGACTTAACTATTAAGCCAAAAAGAACTAACACTTCCATATCCTCATTGACTATTGACTAACAATCCTTTCATTATGTAAAATCTCAGCCTATAATGACATATGCTACACACATTTCAAAGATGTCAATGTCCTTATTGACTTGATTACTAAGCCAAAAGGAATTAACACTTCCATATCCTCATTGACTATTGATTGACAATCCTTCTATTGTATAATATATTTAAATCTCATCTTATAATAACATGCACTACACTCACTTCAAAGATGTCAATGTCTTCATAACCCCTATTGAGCCAAAGGGAACTAACACTTCTATATCTTTATTGACTATTGACTAACAATCCTTTCATTATGTAGTATATTTAAATTTTATCCCATGATGACATGCACTACACTCACTTTAAAGATGTCAATGTCTTCATAACCATTATTGAGCCAAAGGGAACTAACACCTTCATATCCTCATTGACTATTTACTAACACTCTTTCCATTGTATAGTATATCTAAATCTTATCCTATGATGATATGCACTATAGTCACGTCAAAGATGTCAATGTCCTTATTGACTTGACTAATAACCTTTATTGAGCTAAAAGGAACTAACACCTTCATATCCTCATTGACTATTGACTAACAATCCTTATATTGTGTAAACTAGTTATTCCATATTGTGAGATAATTAATCATTCACCCATACCATAGTCCCACGGTAAATTGTGTAGACCAACTATTCCATGTTATAAGGTAACTAATCACCCACCCATACCACAGTCCCACAATAAATACTTTCTTCTATAGAGCATCCACAAGAGAACTAACACCTCTATATCCTCATTGACTATTGATTAACAATTATTCCATTGTGTAGATTAAATGTTCCATGTTGTGAGGTAATTAGTCATAAATTGTGTAAACTAACTATTCCATGTTGTGAGGTAACTAATTATCCATCCATACCACAATCCCACAGTAGATACCTTGTCTGTAGAACATCCATAAAAGGAAGGACATAATATATATAATTTCAAATTTAGGAGTAAGAATATATTTTACTCAAATGTATATTATATTTTAAGTAATCACTAATAAATAGGAATCAAACCCATGCCATTTGCTCTAATACCACATGTAACACACTCTACCTCTCTCCTTTAATTAGAAAAGGGGCAATTGCTTAATAAAAGAGCCTTTAGTAGCTATTTTATTCCTATTTATCCCCCAAGGTTTCATAGTAATTGTATATCCAAATTCCATCCTACAATGACATATGTTATATAAATGTAGAGAGTAAATGCTCATAAGGGATTTTAATGTATATTAAACCCTCATTTAGCATAATAGGCTTGGAGACCAAATATACATGCACTATAAACTTGTATCACCTATGAGGTGCAATTTCCATTTCTCATATAGGAGTCTCATTTGTTTGTGAGATATACCAAAAAAGAGTTACATTTTAAAATCGCAAAGCTTATGAAAGAAGATTAAAGAAAATAGCGGGTGAGATTGACTGGAAGAATATGCATCTTATCAGAGATAAAAAGTTATATCTCAATTTAATTTTATTTTTACACAAACATTAAACAGTAGTATAAAGTGGCATAGTATCAATCCAAACTTTTTTTCATTTTTATGGGTAGATTACACAAAACTTGCAATAAATTAAAAGAATCCTCCACCACACAGAGAGGTGGCATGATATCCATCCAAACCATAAAAAGATAGCCTATGGTTAAGGATGCCAAATATATAAACATTGATATCTTTTTGCTATTCACTAAAGAGAGTTAATTTATATGATAACTTTAAGCCTTGCTTTTTCCATACATGGCATGAAAAATGGTATAGGCCTAAAAAATAATTTTAGAACATGTTTGGAAAGTTTGAATTTAAAGTATATTTTTCAAGATTTGATGCCAAAGCCTACTCCTCCCCTGCCACCTGGGTTTGGGGTCTTCAAAAATCTGCCTTTCGAAAACACTAGGTTTGGCATGACTAAACCACTATATCCAATAAATGATATACCTTGCTGCATAGATTCCTCCCATGTGCAATCACATATTGCCATATTTGTTCCGAGATATTCATTAATAAAAGAATAAAAATTTTCTGGTGTCTCAAAAGCCCACCCACAACAACCATTGCCTGACACTAAAGAGCTAGATAACTTAAGGGAGATTACTAATGTATTTAGGAGGAACTTAGTTGAAGGCGACTGGGAGCATCCGAGCCATGTGATGGAGCGGGCACTTGTCGCCCACTATGCACTCTTCCTTCACTTTCTGATTGAACCTAATTTTGCTAGATCGCTTTCATACTGCCACTCGATTCCTCTCTCTTTCGGCGTCTCCATTATCAAATCGATCAATCCATTGATCTCCTGTCCCAGGTGCCGTGATTTGGTTCCGTTTTGGATCCATCATCTTTTCAGCATTTTAATATATCCAACGTTTTTTCTACGCGACCGTGCAGTGTGGGGTCTCCTGTGGATTTTACGACAATGCTTCCCAGACGAGCATCGAGGATTCCGCGACCACTGTTTGCATGATTTTGGTCGCTTCAAAGTGGTGAGCTTCCTCATATCTTTCCTTCCTCAAAGTTGGCTCTCTCGTCTCTCTTTTTCTTCCTTGCCTGCCTTCTCGTGCGTTTTCTTGGCTGTACGTAGATTCCAGTCTCATTGAATTTGGTGATTGGTTTTTTTGGTGTAAGCAGCGATGCATTCGATCTGTCTCAAGAGCATGGAACACGCGACCAAGAACGCCGCGGCCATCCAACGCGAGCTCCTGCAGCAAATCCTGGAGAAGAACGCCGGGACCGAGTACCTTACGCGGCATGGCCTGGACGAGGAATCCAACCTCGTCGATGGCTTCTACAAGCTACCCCTCGTAGAGTACAATGACATCGAAGCGGACATCAAGCGTATTGCGGACGGCGACACTGGAAGAATACTTTGCTCCGATCCAATCTCACAGTTCTTCATCAGGTGTGTGGTTTCCGCAAAGTTTCGTTCTTCCTTGTCAAATTCTTTCTCAGCTCAGGGACGACGACCGGACGATCCAAACTCATCCCGGTGACGAAAGAAGCCGTGGATCAAGCGCACAAGAGGCCAGTCGAACTCTCGATTCTTCCATCCACCACTGATATCTCTGGCTTGGCACAGGGTGTTCACGATCAATCCGGACGAAACTTACTTGGCATTCTGGTTCGCGAGCAAGCAGTCCCTCACGAAAGGTGGCTTCAAGGCCGAGACTGTCACAACCAGCGGTCTCAACAGCGCTCACTTCAAGCGAGCAGCCGCATCCTTCGTCACCCCGCACAAGATCTTCCAGTCCACCAGCATGTACCAGTGCCTCTACTGCCACCTTCTCTGCGGCCTCCTCCGCCGCGAGGAAGTCACCGTCGTGATCTCGGCCTTCGCCTTCGCACTGACCGAGGCTTTCCGGGTGCTGGAGCAAGTCTGGTCGGAGCTGCTCGAGGACATCGAGGCTGGAAGCTTGAGCTCGAGGATCACAGACCCGACTTTGCGGCTCGCTATGTCCGGCATTGCTCCTCCCAGTCCCGAGCTCGCAGAGCAGCTGAGAAGGGAGTTTCGATCGTTTAGCATGGACGGGATCGTCCAGCGCCTGTGGCCCAACGCGAAGTCTGTGGTAGCTGTCACAACCGGAGCCATGGCACCATACGCCCCGAGGCTGCGAGCTCTTGCTGGAAAAACTCCGGTGGTTTGCGGAAACTACTTCAGCTCCGAGTGCTTGATCGGGATCAACCTCAGCCCGGCCTCGTCGCCAGCCACTTTCACCGTCAACCCGGAGTTTGCGTACTTCGAGTTTCTTAGCTACCACGACGGTGAAACCAAGTTGAATGGCCTGGAGGAGCAACGTCCCGTTGGTCTCACGGAGGTGATGATCGGAGAGAAGTATGAGATCGTGGTGACAACTCGATCTGGTACGTTTTGCTTCCAAGTTCTTCGTTTTTCTCCCTGTCAGACCTTGGAGTTCACAGGTCTCTATCGATACAGGCTCGGAGATGTCGTCCAAGTGGCCGGCTTCTTCAACTCGAGCCCGAGCCTGAGATTTCTTTTCCGGAGAAACGTGGTGATGAGCGTAGCCACTGACAAAACGGACGAGTTCGAGCTCCAGGCCGTAGTCCACAAGGCCTCATTGCTGCTGCGGAGCTCAAGCCAGCTCCACGACTTTGCAGGCTACGCCGACTTCTCGTCCATCCCGGGACATTACGCCATCTTCTGGGAGCTCAACCACGGCGGCTCCATGGATCCGAGCACCCTGCAAGACTGCTGTGAGCTCCTGGACGTGTCTCTCAACGATCCTTACTTGCGCGGGAGGAGTAGTGGAGCCATCGGTCCTCTAAAGCTGTGCGTGGTGAGGGGCGGGAGCTTTAGAGAGCTGTTTGAGCAGCACGTCGCGAGAGGCGGGAGTGGAAGCCAGTACAAATCTTGTCGCTGCGTCGCGAGCAAACAAGCCATTGATCTACTGCGAAGAAACACTCTCCAGCAAGCCTTAAGTTCGAAGTTTCCAAATCCCTGGAAACTAAGTATTAAGTCTCTGGAGCTTGACCAATAATCATGTAGCCATTTTTACCGTGATCGTTATCGCGACTGACAAAACGAGATCTTCCTCGTTTGGATTTGGAGAGCTTGCATCTGCGAGAACTAACAGCACCTACTTTACAACATCGGTGTCTTGAGCCGAGACAAGGGGAATGAAAATCAATCTTTCACCTACACCCAAACCACATCGTGAGAAGAACAGCATAAATGAAAATGAGAATTACTTACACCGGAAGGTCTTCTTCCGTGCCTGTGAGCACCGTAGCTTTCTTCCGGGTTCTCATTGAGTGCTGCGAAGAAGAAGGCGGGGACAGCACAGTAGTTGGTCCTTTTTGCTTGAGCTTCTGTCGCACTTGGTAGAGAGGAGTGTCATCGTCATCTTCTATCTGGTCCTCCGACTCCGATGGTTGCTCCTCGTCGCTCTCGGACTCATCTCCAAACAGCTTCTTCTTGTTGTTAGTCTTGGCGTTTCTAGGTGGCCGAGGAGGCTGGTCATGCTTTCCTGGAAAACAAAGAAAAAACAAAAGCAGATGAAATAGAAAGAAAAAAGTCACTACTGACCTGGAGCTTCTGTTTTCGACACCCTCTCCTGGAGATGCTCCAGGAATGTCTGATATGGACGCCATCCAGTCGGATCTTGATCTACATCGTCGTCGTTTACCCTGCTTTGCACGTTCTCGATGCTGCAAGCGCAAGTGAGTGGCTTACAACGCAAGGAAATATAAGAGAACTTACATATCTCGTATGTCGGCTGCAGCTAATCTTTGTAAGAATGGTAAAACGCACGCCTCGAGAAATGACAACTGCGTGGGAGTATCTTCAAACGCATGCTCCACGCCATTTCTTACGAGCTTTAAGATGCTTGGCCTGTGGATGTTACGGGCGAAACCGGAAAATGTCGCTGAAAGACGGTTCGCTAGCTCCTTACAAAGCTCAAATGATTTAGGCTTTGCTTCTTCATCGTCCTCTAAATGTCTGCTGTAGGCCTGAAATTTTTTCCAGAGTCACAACATGCTTTGCACAAGCTGGCTCACCTTCTTCATAGCGTCTAGATAGAGGCTACATAGCTCTTGGGACTTCATATTCTTTTTGAAGACGAGAATTAGCTGCTTTATGGTCTCCTCGACTCCCTTGCCATGGAGCACGTAGTGCGATATGATCTCCGACCCAATAAAGTCCTGAAATTTCAAGCTTTGTAGTCCCTCTGAAACTTTCAAAAGGAGACGTACCTTAGGAATCATTTCATGCGCAACTAGCTTTGCAGCCGACGTGATAACGATATCTTTCTGGCTAAAGTAATCCGCTTCTTCCTCTCGCTCTACCTCCATGTCGTCGTCATCTGAATCTGAAAGTAAAGATTCAGTTGTTTATCACCATCTACACTAAATATTTTTACCAGGTACAGATAGCCTGAGTTCGCACAGCTCCCAAAACTTCTCCAACCTCTCTGAAGAGGGAGAAAACCCCAATCGTTCAATTTTCGTAGAGGACAGCTTTTCTTTGCTGAATAGGCTGCAAAGGTCCGAGAAAATGGTGCAAATCTGGGATCACGTGAGAGTTAGCTTCTGAGTGATTCGTCAGGTTCAAGACCTACCGTAGAACTTAGCAAGGACTTGGTCTGCCCGTCACTGAAACTCGAAATAACATTGTCCATCTGAGTTTCAAGGTGCTTATAAAGTGTAGATCTCTTGGTTATAAGACTCGTTAATTGATTCTCATCTGGATTATCGTGGTCAATACTTTTGAGATACCATATCACATACAGAAATATGTTTGTCAAATCTAATTGCACAGCCTGAAGCAAGTAGGGTTGTAAGATAGAAAACAATAAAAGGAACTATACCTCGTCTTCCAAATCACTGAAGTCTTCCAGAAGTGTGAGTAGATCTTTGTAGAGCTCTTCATTATTTATAGGCATTGCCAACTGCAAATGCTGTAACCGTCGTAAGTTCACCGTAAGAGAATAGTCGTCTTCAGTTTCCTGATGAACTCGAGTCAGTACAAGGCAGAAACAACGGTATCGAAAACGTTACCCCCGCGTGCTCAATGGCCGATCTCAGTTTGCGAATAACTTCATCAGTCGTTTCTTTCAAAACGCGTTGAGCAGCATCTTGAAGATCTGCCTTCGTCTCACTAGCGCAAAAGACTAAAGTGTTGACACATGTTTGCAACGTCTTGCGGTCCCCATGTTTAAAGAACGCGTCCCTTGTGAGCTCAAGAGATGAAATGCAGCTCTAATCGCAATACACAAAATAATTTAGACTATCATGCAGTTGTGTATGTACCTGTTCTTGCTGCTTTAATGAATAGAGATCAAGATTCATATGTTGCATGATCTCAACGATATAACACACTTTAGATTTGTCCGCAAGATATTTCCTTAACAACTTCGGATGAGGCTTGATCATTGCCGTTGTCAATTTCTTCTTACTGGACTCAAAAGCCTCCTGCAGGATAGCAAATCAACAATTCTGTCAAACCATAGACAAAATACCTTCTGCGCCTTCGTTAGTGTTGCCTTGCGACTGTCAATGGTAGGCACCAGTTTCTCACCAACTGATCTCTTTGCAGAACCACCAAGAACCCTGCATAAACTTGCAATATCAACATCTGTCAGCTCCTGATTCTCACTGTCATCCAGTAGCATCGAAATTAGGCACTTCCAGTCCTACAACACACAGCTTAGAGGGGAGTGGTGAAGAAAAGGAAAATGACAAACCTGCATAGCCTTCATTTCTTCCCAGACAGCATCGATAACATAATCGCTTAGAATGGGATCACTTGCGAAGTCTTTCAGGATCGTTAGCAATCTCTTTAACTGGACATCAGATTTATCGCTGTCCTCGCCTTCTGTAGAGAAAAAAAGTTTTAAGTGGCTCTAAACAGCATAATACACACCTTCTGCGTTTGGCACGGCAATCATCTGCTCATAAACTAGCTGCCCTACAGCGTGACGAATCGAAGGCGATTCATCGATCAAAAGATCGTACAGAGGGCTCACGTCTTTGATAAGTTGATGCCTGATTCATTGCACAACTTAGTGATTAATCGCAGCAAAACCAAAACGCACCTTAGCAGCTGTTTAAACAAGCCGATGGCGCTCACTGCAACACTTATATCAACATCATCCGCTAGTTCGATCATTCGATTAGAAAACCGTTGTGTAAATAGCGCCATAGAAGGTACATTATCATCAATCTCGTAGATAGCTCGGAGAGCCTCAATAGAGCTCTTGCGGACGGCTACGTTCTTCACAATGTACAGTTAGAAGGCATGCAAGCGGGAAAGCTTTTCATACCTTATCGCTGAGCGTCCATCCGATATACTTTAGATAGAGGTCATTGAGGAAGTAGGACGGGTATGATATAACCCATCCACCAATGGCTTTGACGCATGCAACTCTGAAATCTACGTCGACGTCACGATACCGATGCATAAAGAGCCTGGGAAGGAATTCATAATCAGAAAATTGAACCTTAGAGAAAAATGATCGTACCCGCGGATTATGGCCTGGATCATACCCTCGATTTTTGTTATTTTATCGTGCGTTTGAGACAGGACTTTGTTGAGCGACTCGATGCGTGCAGCATCCTTCCGTTTCTTCTTTTCCTCGGCAATAAGCTGGCGCTGTTTCGTTTCCCGAGATTGAGAAAGCGTCTTTGCAACGGTGACAAATGATGTCGCGAGCTGAAGTCCGATGAGCGTCGAGACATGCCGGAAGTGCCTAGGCGGGGTGCTGAAGAGGCCAACGTGAGAACGAAAGTAAGCAGAACTTTTTTTTAACTTGCCATGAGAGCGCCGTCACAAAGTTTATGCACATCTCCATAAGTTGTTCGTCAAAAAGTGGTCCGTTTTGGCATTCTAGAACGAAGGTATCCCAGAATAATGTCAGATTGTCTTTAAAACCACGCAGATCCTTTTGCTTCGACGTAACAAAATCTTCCACATCCCCCTATTTCGCAGGCAATGAGTACTGAAAACAAAAACTGGACAAAACAGTCACGTACCGCTTTAGCCTGACTAACAAGCTCGAGAACAACCTCATCAACATTAATTTCGTCGAGTAAATCTTCGTCAATATTGTACTTCGCACCGCAAGCCTTGATAGACGAGCGTAAGGAAAAACCGTGGCAAGAACAAATGAAAATCCCACAAAAGCTAACCTCAAATATACACATAATAAGTTCGCATGTCGCCGGCCGCTGGCTTGATTCGTAGCGATCAATCCAGTTCTTCACAGCTCGAGGAACAAGCTTCCCATTATGCTTGATCACGTCTGAGAAAAGTTGCCAATGCTTCAACGCGGCCAGAAGAAAAGACAATACCCTCACCTATTAAGCTTTGTCGATCATCACTGGAATCCTCAGACTGCCTGTTCTTCCTCTTTTTTCCTCGATCATCTTGCTCCAAACTGCTGTCTTTCCCACTCTCGGACTCCAAAGACACTTGCCGCTTGCGACGTTTCTGTGAAAGATTTCAGACATCTCCAAAAATGTTGAAATTCCTACCGGAGGAAGCCCATCTCCCCGCGCCGCAGCTCCCCGCTTCTTGGATTGCGCCGGTTCTTGCGCCGAGCCCTCCTCATCGCTGCTGCTCGCGTTCACTCTACCTCAAGGATGCATCAGTCTAGCCCTGCCAAGAGACGAGATCACACTTACTCCTGCCACAGCCGCGTCTTCTCCAATTCCTCCCTGCTGAGCCTGCGCCTACTGCTCGACGCCATTCCACGAACCCTAGGCGATCCCGCGCTCTAAAGCGTCCTCTTCACTTCGCCATAGCTAAATGAGAAAACCCTTTTGCGCGGGGAAAGCCCCGACCGTACACAAGGGATCCCGGTTTTCCGTACCACAAGGGTAACTTTGTTTTTTACGTTGCATTGTTCTCTCTCGTTCCTCACACAATAGCTGGGGAGCTATCAAAGCCCTTTCTCACAATCACAGGAGGTTCCTAGATATCACCAAGAACGAGAAAAAAAAATCTGGCCATCAAAAAACATCTAGAAACTGTGATTTGATCGTCACTCTTACCTCGTATTCCTCAAATCTGTGTCCATCGATCGTCATGATGCTGGGAGTGATCCCCGGCGGTGGTGAAAGCCAATCTTGAGCTTCCTCCCAGGCGCTTCTCGCCGTGGAACACTCCGGAGTTCTCGGAGAGCTAAAACTCACTGGGCCTTCCCTCGATGCCAAGCTCTTATTAACAAAGCCTGGAGCAAACGCTGTGGTGGAATCTTTAACAGCTTTCGCCTAGAGGAAAACCAATTAGAAATATTAGAATGTAAGCATCGTTCTTCATGGAAGGATCAGCCGAGAACCTTGGGCTTGAGAACCACAGCATTTCTTCGATATCCCATGACCATCTTGCCTCCAGGATCGATCCGGCTGAAAGTAACTGCAACTTCCAACGTTAGATCAATGCCTTGGAGTGCTATAAGTCACTCACCTACATCACCGGCTTGCAGTTGCAATGCTTTGACGCAAGGAGTGATGCCTTCCAAAACGTACATCCTGCTGCTGTTGTTTGGCCAGAACCGAAACTGGAATTGCCACTCTTGGCCTTTCGAGTCGCTCATTTTGATCGGTATTCCCTCGGGCGAAGATATGGGAGGAAAAAAAGCCTGACAAAGGAAACACCACGAAACGTAAGACCTCACAAATCCCTGCGTAAGTTTGTATGAACTTCAGTACCTCAGCACAAGCTTTTGGGAGCACCAAGCGGCCGATTCGTCCAGCATCACTTGCCGTGAGGGTCTTCTCGAATAACGGTACGACGGTGGTGGAGCTTCCACAAGTCAGGAAACACTACTGAATCTCTGAAGAGAGAAAACTAAGAAAAAAGAAAGAACTAGCAAGCATACCTTCCGTCCGGCGTTTGCTGCTGCCTTTCCTTGTCCGTCACAACGTCCGGGCCCAACTGTTTGTGGCATCCTCCGAGCTCGTCGATTGCTGGAACGTCCTGCGGTTCCTTTTCTTCAGGGCTTTCTAGCTTTTGCCTTTTAACCGAGCCAGCGAGAGATGCTGCTTGTTCATCCTCGGAAGATTGATCCGAGGCCTTGACTCTTGTGAGAGATGTGGATTCGGAGGACACATTTGCCGGACCTTCAACTGTCTAAAGTCCCACGGCTGAAATAATAGAAATGAAGCTTTGAGTCGTACGATACCTTGCATGGAGTCAATCCTTTCGCGCAGCTCACGCATTCAACCCCACCAAAATCGAGATGAACAAAAGAAGACACTGATGCAATGCATCCACAGTGGACAGGCTGCATTTCAATATCAAAAACTTAGATCCAAAGACGAAAGAAAACAAACACTCACCTTCTTACAATTGTTACATGTTCTCCATCCCGCATCACTGGAATGAAAAGTCTCGCAGAATCTCGATTGCTCGTACACCAACCTGTGAGAAACACCAGCAGCATTTCACCCGTAAATTGTCCATCTTCACAAAAACATTTTGAAAAGAGTGAATTCACTCACCCGCAGTAGTCGCACAAATCCGCTATTCTCCCCGACTGCAAGCCCCATCCGGATTTCCACACGCTGCTGTTGGTCGCGGGGCATTTGGTGTTCCAACAGACCTTGCGCTTGAGATGATCCATCGCTCCGGTCCTCCTGCCCTAGAAACAGAGATCCCTATCGCGCGCTCGCGCCTACGGTGCCCCAATGCATCGCTCCCGCGCAAATCTCCACCCGCATTCTAGCTACGTCGAGGAGATCTTGCGAGTGCTTCTTCGTCCACAGGAACTTTAGGGCTTTGTCTTGGACACGTGTCAAATATCTAAATTGTTCGGATGGTTCCACGTGGACTTACTTAATGTGGAGGCTTTTGAGTAAATACATACTTAATGTGGATAAATACAATAGCACAAAAAAAAGGCACCAATCAGTTGTTTTCATTTTCCCCAGTTCGAGCTAAGCATAGTTGAGCCGAAAGATGTCGTTGAGGACGAAGAGGGAACCCTCGGCCGTGGGAACGAGATGGAACATCTAGAAAAAAATCCACAAAGAAAATCGATTCCAATGATTCAATCCAAGTAGAAACGAAGAAAATTGATTCGATCCAATCCAACAAGCAAAAGATCGATGGGGGGGACCAAAAGCGCACCAAGAGAAAACGAAAGATCTATGGCGGGATCAAACAGATCTAAAGGAAACGAAGTGAAACTTGCTAGCATAAAGCAGGAATCTCTTTCTTCTTCGAGCTCGAGGAGGATCACGCAGGGATCTAAGAACTCTTGAGCGCCAAGCAAAGAATGGAGGAGGATCATACCTGGCTGAATTTGAGGGGGTGCTCCTCGCCGGGCAGCTGGAGGATCCCGCTGACAAAGACGAGCATACCTCCGTGCGCGCCCGAGGGCTGGCAGTCGACCGTGGAGATGTTGTGCTTGCACTGCTGGAAGGGCAAGCTATTGAGCTTGTTGGCGATGTTGGGCGCGCCCTGGAATTGCTGGCCCTCGAAGGTGAGCATGGACGCGTCCTGGTAGAGCGAGACGAGCCCGGCGCGGTTGGCGTCGAATGTGTTGTAGTAGTGATCCACGAATGCCCGCGACACCTGATCGGGATCCATGGCCGCCATCGATCGGAGCCCCTGCGCGAAGAACCCTAGTTTTTGCTTGGCGAGTTATAATCTATTCCTTTTTTCCGGTTTGCTTTATTACACTTTTATATCATAGTTGCTGACTCAGCCCTAGCATGTGTGGCAAGTGACGTGTCAGGTGAGTTGGCGTGGCGAGATGCCAGAGAGACATGTGGCACTGACCTGGCAGATGCCCTATGTGTGGGGCACCTGCCAAGTGTCACCGCGGC